CGAAGTGGACGTCGTTCGAATCGATGGCAGAGTGTTGACGGAGAAGATTGGGGGTCACGGCTGTGGGTTCGCTTGGAGAAGTAGAAGGCCGCGAGCAGGCTGGTCTCGACTGGCAGCACCTGTTCGTGGACCGCTCTCCTGTGTCGGAGGCTTGCCGGGAGTACTGACGACGCTGCACTTGTTGGGTCTGGACCACCTTGTGGCGAGACGTGACCTGTCTGCTATCCAGAAATGGTTCAAGCAGCAGGATGCCGAGGAGTACGTGGACACGGTGTTCCGCCTAGCTGGTCTCAAGTACGCGGTGATGACAAACATCCCGTTGGACCGGAGGAGGCCCGACACTGGCTGGGTGATCCAGCCACAACCACGCCGCCGCCTACATGGTCGTGCAATACTTCCGTTCGGCTCTGCGGGTAGACCAGGTCCTGCTTGGCGATTGGGCGTCCATCAGCCTGACGCTGGACGTGTTCAAGCTACCACATACGCTCGCGGGTGTGCGTTTGCTTCTGGAGAAGTGGATCAACATTATAAAGCCCGAGTACTTCATGGCTAGCGTGCCCATTTCCTTCGAGTACTCGGATGAGAATGCGCCTGCTTCTGCTGGTACAAATGAGCTGCCTGATGGTGCGGAAATGCTGCTCCAAGTGCTGCTGCCGCTGGCTGAAGAGAAGAAGCTGCCGATTGCGCTAAAGTTTGACAGCGTGCGTCCGATTAATGCTCGCTATGGTGTGGCCGGCGACGGGAGTGAAGCCGAGCAACGTGGATATTTTGATCGAGCTGTGCCGTAACTTCCCCAAAGTAAAGTTCCTGGCCACGTTTCTCTCGCGTGTGAACCAGCACGAAGTGACCGTGGCGGCCAACAAGTTACGGATCATACATCTGTATGACTACTGGTGGTACTGCAACAACCCGTCGATCATTGAAGAGCTCACGCAGATGCGTATCGAGATCCTGCACAGCGTTCACGAGCCAGCACTCGGACGCGCGTGTACTGGACGAGCTCATTTACCAGTGGAGTTACTCTTGTTATGGGCTGAGCCCGTTACATAAAAATTGGTACGACAGTACATACTTTTGAATATTATCTATTTTGATTAATTCAATCAACATCACTCGAGAAGAGTGATGTTGGCGGAATATTACCTCTTAGGGCAATATCCGTGGAGGGGTCCACATCTTGGTTGATGTACACGGTACATCAACCAATTTAATTACCAATCGCTGCTGGACGCGCGCAATGGGTGGTGGACAGAAGACCCACATAGGAGATAGTAGTTTAATTCAGTTAGATTAAGACAAAAGATGATTTGGTAAGAAAATAACTATATTAAATAACGGTTCTACTTTTCCCTCAAGACAAATCTTTCGGGTTCTGTATTGTCTTGGTAGCGCTTCCTCACGCCACGTGTACGTGACGTCGGCGGCACACAAACTTGTGTTGAATTGACACAAGGCGTGACGCGTTACAGCAATTCAACAAACAGCAAAGCAATATATTTCGAGAATTGCTAAATTCACACCCCTTTTCCTTAGATTCACACCCTTCCTTCAAAATCTTTTATATATAATCCCTATTCATTTTTAGATTTGATTTCTGACAAAGGTATTACTCAATAATCTAGGCCATTAATTGGCAAGTAATACGTAAGGAATACATAAGATACTACTCACGCTTGTGTCTAGCTCCTCCAGCATTTTCTGATAGGGCACCACGCAATAACATGCTTCCTCCTCCCGAGGTTGAGTATGCCAGTCGGGAGCAACTTATGGATACTGTGCAGACGTTCGCACGTGGCCAAAGCTATGCTGTTACGATTACAAGTTCGATTGCAGGAAAGCGTGTCTACCTTAAATGTGATCAAGGTGCCGTAAACGTACCAAAGGTTGGAATAGAGCGCCAACGCCAGACCAGCTCACGCCGAATTAATTGCCCGTTCCTTTTAAGTGAAAACTTCTATATATAGGATTTTGAAGGAAGGTTGTGAATCGAAGGAAAAGGGGTGTGGTGTCGCCCGTAGCCAAGTGGCAGAGAAAGTACTCGTCTTTGTCCATCGGCGATTCCGTACCTTATATATATAAGATTTTGAAGGAAGGGTGTGAATCTAAGGAAAAGGGGTGTGAATTTAGCAATTTTCTATATTTATGATTATAAAACATCTTTTTGATTGAATGTGGTTAACAAATTATTTTAACCATCTCAAGGCAAACATAATAAGAATTCTGCATGTAGACCATAATTTTAAAGTCAAATATATGTAGAAATAGCATGGGCAATGTATACCGTGCACAGATATGATACAAGTGGCATTCTGGTAACTTTTTTTAATTTGATCCACAATTGATTTATTTTGCATCAAGCCCAATCAATTGATCACCCCAGCCGTTCAATGCTGCAAAAATTCCAATAATAATACGACTTCTAAAGTGAAACTGTAACAAAATTGCAATTGCTATAGACCCTGATAAGTATACAAACAACTGCGTATATAATGTTTTGTCGTTGTTTATATGTACATTAAAGAAAATTGAGCTAGCACTAAAAGGTAAATACCTTAAACCTGCACATTATCTCTCTCTAAACATATAAATATATCTGTGAGCAGGTAATGATAAAATGTAGTCATTTTTAAAGGTTCACGAAATGAAATTTTCTTAAATAAAACCGCCCTTTTGGTATTAAACACTACTCCAGACCTATACACCCCCATAGGTATTATTAGTATGACGACACTTATCAATCGTAGATTTCTATGCATTTCTTTTGCTAAACTTTAGCACCCTGCAGCTGCACCAAGTGAATATCAAAAATTTTAACTTGTTAATTAAATCAATATCGCACAAAAGGAATTTTTCCTTTCTTAAAGAAAGCGTACTAAATTAAAATTTTATAAGTGCGAATATTTACACCACTGACCATAATTGTTGCAATTATTTAACATTTAGGGTGTGACTTGCATTGGAACTAGCACAACTATGTAGATATATGATCTTGCTCTCTCAAGGCAATTTATAAAAATTTGCACAACGCGAGGCTTCACTCGTTATAATACTAGACATTGTATTTTTTCTGCTATTGTCTCTATTCATTTCTAAGAAAATTATCATTAATTGAAAGGCAAATTATAGTGTACAAACGATAATTTGTTGAAAAGGAGAATAAAAAATGCCCCATATTAGGCACGGAAATAGAAAATGCTCCAGATAATTGACAAAAATGCTACACGTCCATATAAAATCATTTGAATGTGGTACACAAAAGTAGAATCATGATGCGGCCACACTTGGTTTACGTAAGCGCAGCACATCGATACAAGTTCTGGTTCTGGTTATGTTGGTTCTCAACACAATTTGTATGAGCCGTATGCATTTTACTATATCCTCTCACAACAGGAGCTGGAAATTTAAGGTGAAAATTGCTTAAATACCATCGTTTTATTTAAAATGTGTCATTAGACTTAAACGCAGCTCGTTCAATGCAGCACCACACTCGTCTTTTTCTAGATATACACACACGCACACGTGCACTGTCCGTCATAAAGCACCAGCACGCGCGCGTTGCGGGCGTTCGTGCACGCGACCCCATCCACTGCAACGACTTCATCTCGTAGCAGAAGAACTACTTGTAGCAGCATCTACAGAACAACGACAGCAACCACGGCACCTACAACAACAATAGCTGCATAAATAGCAGTAGCAGATTTCACTGAGTACCCCCTAAGCACCCCTAACACTACCATTTCCCCTAATTTGTAGATTATTGGTATGTCGGTTATCCACACCATTTTCTGTCAAATGTTTTGTGGGTTTTTGGGAGATCAAAATGATGGCTTTCGAATTCTCGATCGATCCTCTGCACGACGATCTTCTCTTCCCTATTGCGCACAAGAATCGTGTTCGAGTCAATTGTCAGGCAGAAACGCTTGCCCATGATGGCACTTACGTCTCGTATCGCGCAGCATGGGCCTTTGCACCGCATATTATTATACACAAACCCATTAGCAGCAGCAAGTGAGTCAACAGCCGCTTTTAATGACAGTTTACCAGACGCCTCATCAATGACCAACCGTCGCATTATAGCGTCTGTCTGAGACTACGCAATTTATGCGCGGTGACAATCGTCTTCCCCAACGAGCTCACAAAACGCGTCAACGCACGAGCGCTCATTTCTTGCAGACCAAATATGGTCATAAATACTAATCTTGCGATTGCCCGGCGCTGCTGCATTGTCAACGGTCGACCGCAGCAACGCCAAGCACCTGAGCAGGTCAAAGACACATTTCACTTCCACAAAAACCAAAACTTCATCCAGAGATGGAATTTAAACAAACACAAGTACCTAAATGTGTATATGTGGCACCTGCTCACCTGGTCGAGTCGCGGTAAAAAAGTTGAATATAGAACCAAATTTAGCAAAGATCTCACATCCCATCAATCACTTATGTAAGGGTAAGGATCCCATGATCCAATACCGCGATTTGTATATTATCCGGATATCCATTCATTAATTAATGAGCACGTCTTAATGCTGGTATGCATGTATCCTTGCTAAATATAGGTACGTCTCGACAAGCATAGGTAGTGGTGTATCGGATTTTATCAAAGCTATAATTAATGATTTATTAAAAGTTGATGTCAGTCGTTGTATTGTCATTCCTAATTTCTCACCAAATTGAAAGATTTAATTCATCTCGGCAACAAACCTTTCGATTATTGACGTAGAGATCTATCTAGGTCATCAAAAAGTTTGAAATACATTCTCAACCTATCGAATGCGCATTAAAATCTATCAAATTAAAATTTATGGAACAACATCGTTTATTGTGGTCTGTTCAATATGAAAAATATTGAACGCGGTAAGGAATCGTACATATATTGTACGTGAGAACAAAATCGGAACGTTAAGGGTTTTGATATATCTGGTAGGGCTAGAAACCAAAAATATATAAAGTTTACCGATTAGTGTTTTGTAGGGTAAGTAGGATTATGTCCCTAATCTGTCAGATTATGCGTAATAAAACATTCCTATATATTTAACTGTATATATAGGTATATTCGAATTTGTAATCATTGAAATATAGAGAAACAATGTCTACCACATGATACGTGCGCTTCAACGGAGAGGACCGCAAGTCTGTCAAACGTTCGGATCACCTTCCAAAAACTGATACAATTTGGTATGATCAATGTATCTGCTAGGTTACAGCGAAAATTCCTATCTCGTTTAAATATAAAATACTATTTTCATTATGATTTAAGACGCAAACAATACTGTAACAATGCCACAGTCGGCCACATGAGGTATTCCACCAAATCCAAATCACACCATGGATAAAAATCGACCATCTACAATCTTTCTGTAAATCACATTATTGTTTGATGCACAAGTTGGAATGGATGTGATCTGTGAATTTCTTTTTCAGATTAAGTTCGAGTTTAATGCAAAAAAGGCGGGACATATCGGCCACGATTTTGATACGAATTTCTATATTAACAAAGACAAAGCCGTTCATATTCGCAATTCATACTCATGATGTTGAAAGAGATATGCAAGTATATAATTTTACAAAAAAGGTTTAATCCGCAGACTAATCTGAGGAACAAGACAATTATATTGTAAACCTATCGTGCTACAATAATAGGAGCAATATAATTTAAAAAAACATGGCACTAATATGACTGCTTGAAATGTAGATACAATCGCTACGTCGTATGGATTTCAGCCTAGACGATACCGCTATACCTCGACAAAATCTATTTTTTTTTACTTGTTTAATTAGATAGGACTGTATACAGCCATATAAATGAAGTGCCAAAAGATGCATCCTTTATGAGAATGTGGTTTTACCTGTGGTAAACATTTGACTCAGATTATCATAGACGTGTAGACGGATATCTTTGAAATTACTTAACTTCTTTAAGCAATAATTTTGTATTCCGACAATATTTATTAAGCTCACAACAAATTCAGTAAATTGGATTTTGCAAAATCATTTGTTGGATTCGTCAGGAATGACAATCTTTTTTGCTGTTCTGGTCTCTCAATCGAGACC